ATTTAAAATTACATATCATTATGTTACTGTTTTTACATTACATCAATTTAATTATTATAACTTAAATCATATTCATTCACAAACTTAAAATCAAATTCAAATTTCCTCTCCTTGTATTTTAAACTCACATTATTCAATAAATTAAATATCACTTCACCTAATTCCAACTTTTTTTTTGAAAGGGGAAAAAAACTAAAAAATGAAGACACGAAGTCTCGTAGAGTGCGGCTTCAATTGGTTGCCATGTTCGACTTCGAAATAGTCTATCGGCCAGGTCGACAGAATTTTGTGGTCGACGCACTATCCTGACGGACGGAGTGACCAATTGAAGCCGCACTCTACGAGACTTCTTGTCTTCATTTTTTAGTTTTTTTCCCCTTTCAAAAAAAAAAAGTTCGGAATTAGGTGAAGTGATACTTAATTTATTGAATAATGTGAGTTTAAAATACAACGAGAGGAAATTTGAATTTGATTTTAAGTTTGTGAATGAATATGATTTAAACTATAATAATTAAATTGATGTAATGTAAAAGCATGAGTAGATGAACAATGAATTTTGCTAAAAGTTGTGTAGTAATAATTAATTGATATTATTTAGTTAAATTGATAATATTGAAAGAAATTTGAGTTGAATTTTAAGATCAAAATTTGTATCTAATCGTGGTTTCGACCAAAAAAATAAAAAATAAAAATATGGTGAGAAAAAAAATGTGCATCTAACCAAGCTGTAGGCTTTGATTCCTCACCTAAACCCCATCCAAGCACCTAATGCGTCGCACGAGGCTGGCTAGGTACGGGTAATAGGGGGTACACGAGCCAAACTCTGTCGAGTTCAAGCCATTATTAAGTCAAGAAGCTTAACTAAACAAGTCAATAAACGAACTCGAACTTAGCTCATTTACCAATAACGAGCTTTATTTAGACCATCCTAGCCTTTATACTCTATTCTATAGTAATGTAAGCCAACTATTTAATTTCATCTTCAGTCGTACACGCTTTACATTAAATATATTATTTTTTATTTATTTTTATTTCAAATAAATTCCAATACATATCTATATTTATTCTTATATAATGTTTTGTACCCAAATAATAAAAATATGTATATGTAACAACACAAGACTACTTCATAAATCCAAAAAATAAGAATAAAAATTTTATAATAATACAAATCTACTTGTTTTAGTGTGGTAAATTTTTATTCACATGTACTATTATAATATACAAAAATAAATTAAAATACATGTACAAATAAAATCACCAAATTATTTAACATTATAAATATATTTACCAATACATATTATACAAAAAATTATCAATAATATATGAAAAATAATAATAAACAATAGAAAATAAAAATAAAAAGTGTAGTTACCACTATAAATAAAATCACCAATTTATTTACCATTATAAATACATTTGCTCACACATATTATACAAAAAGTTGTAAATAATATATAAAATAAAATAAAAATAAAAAGTGTAGCGCCATCTATAACTACAATGCATAATAAAAAGCTCTATAAAAACGGTTTTTTTTACCTGAAAATTAAAAAAAAAATAAAGTGCTGGAACAAAAAATACACAAACAAATGCGAGTGGAAAAAAATAAAAAAACACGTATTTAGAGAATATGTTTTTCATTGTAAAACGTATTCACAAAATACGTTTTACATTGTAAAAATTTTGTAAAACGTATTATGAGAATACGTTTTACAATTAAATTTGTAAGGAAAACATACTCTCTAAATACGTGTTTTTTATTTTGTTCCACATCTTTTTTTTGTTTTTTTTTTTTTTTTTTTTTTTT